TATTACTACTGCTTAGTAAGACCACACCTGGAATATTGCATCCAGTTTGGGTCACCATATTACAAAAAAGATGTTGAAACTTTGGAAAAAGCACAAAGAAGAGCAACTAAGATGATTAAAAGCCTGGAGACTAAAACATATGAAGAACAGTTGCAGGAATTGGGTATGGCTAGGGGTGCCATGATAGCAGTATTCCAGTATTTGAGGGGCTACCACAAAGAAGAGGGGGGTCAACCTATTTTCCAAAGCATCAGAAGGCAAGACAAGAAACAATGGATGGAAATTAATCAGAGAGAGAAGCAACCTGAAATTAAGGAGAAACTTCCTAACAGTGAGGACAATTAACCAGTGGAACAGCTTGCCCTCAGATGTTGTGGGTGCTTCATCACTAGACGTTTTTAAGAAGAGACTGGACAGCCACTTGTCTGCTTGAGCAGTGGGCTGGACTAGAAGATCTCCAAGGTCCCTTCCAGCTCTATTGATTGCATTTGATTGCATTTCTAATTAAAAACAGAGAGCATAAATCTCTCACCTTTCTAGTCTGGTGTCTGAACTAAGTGTCATATCCTGCCTTACTGGAGGAATGGTCATCTAGAAAAATACTGGATTAGCAAATCTGCTTTATAACCAAACACCTCCTAGCACAGCGGTTCTCAACCTGTGGGTCGCGACGCCATTTGGGGTCGAACGACCATTTCACGGGGGTCGCCAAACAACGCAGTCCGCCATTTTTTTTACCCTTTTCCTTTCCCTCTTATTGGCTTTCGAAAGTGCCACAGGTGGCACGCAGAGCCGTTCCTGCCTCCCTCCTCTTTGCGCATGCGCAGCTTTTTCCTATATAAAAGGAAGTTTCGGTTTCGGTCCACGTGGCAGAAGCGAGACAGAGGACAAGCGGCAGAAAGCGAGAGAGAAGAAGTAAAAGCGGTAAGTTTTGTCTCTGTCCTGCCGCTGAGCTTTCTCTGCTTGGCCACCAGACACCCCAGCGGCCCCAGAACACCCTGCCCGCATTTCCTTCCATTTTTTTTAGCCGGCCCAGCGGCTAAAAAAAACCCCGCAGCAGCCAGCACTTCTTGTAATTTTGCAGCCGGCCTCCCCCTTCACCAGTCTCTCCGGCCGCCTCTTCTGCGTTCCTTCCGCCCTGACCTTCACTTTTTCCCTTGTGCTCAGATGCCCTCTTGCAAGAAAACTAGCAAAGTTGCCAGAGAACCAAAATTAGATAGAAGTATTCGTCACGCGAGCGCACAGAGCGAGCCAGAGACGAAGCTTTGCGCGTCAATGAAATATTAGTAAGTCCTCCAGCCTAAGTGGAGGGAAGGAAAAGCCCAGAACATGGTGATAGGGTGGCAAGTGAGCCTCCAAAAAGGACTTTCCAAGCTTGCTGAAACTATCCCGGGGAAGGAAACTGAAGGCGCGCGCAAATCCCGGGCTTTGTTTCCCTCCCTGTGGAGCAGCCAGCTCCCTGCTACCTTCCACCCACGCCTGAAGCCTCTGCTGCTTTGGGTAGCTGCTACAGACCCCCCGCCCCTGCGACTTCAGGGACCGAAAGGAAGACGGAGGGAGGGAAAGAAACCAAGAAACTTACTTGCCAAGCCGGCGCAGCCACTGGCTCAGTCCCAGCAGCCAGTCAGAGCGCGCGCGCGTGTGCACAACGGCCCTCTCCCAGTGAATGTGATTAGCCAAGCGTGCATCCCAGCCTCTGGAGCTGCCGAGCAACATTCAGGCATGCTCAGTTGGCTGACCTTCCCCGTGTAGAAAGTACCATTGAGTGGAGGGAGGGAAAAAGGGGACGGGCGGGGGCAAGAAGGAAAGAAATAGATGCTACCATCAAGAGGTGAGCTAAAAATAGACGTGGAGGGAGGAAGGGGGGGGAATTGCTGGAAGTTAAATTGAGGAAGGGGGGGAATTGCTGGAAGGGAGGAAGGGGGGGGGAATTGCTGGAAGGCTCTCTCCTGATTGTGGACTAATGCAGCAGAAGAACACGATGATCTCCCCACTATAAACTGAGCACATCTAGATTGGTGGTAAGGAATGGTCATTAAGGAAAGAAAATCCCATGGTTACATTACAATTTATGTGAAGCATCTGTACGTAAATATACTGCACCCTTTATTGTACACAAACTGGCAAAGAAAGCCTCTTTGTAACATGTAACATGCCCTGGAAGAAAA